GTCTAAATTTTTATCTTCTCTATCATTACTCTAATTTTTTATTTAAAAATGAATTGTGATATTTAGGTACATAATTGGCACGCGACTTCTTGTACAAAAACAAATTGCTAAAATGCCGAAAATAGAAAAGAAAAAAAAAATAATACTATGATATCATTGCTTTCGGAATTTTCGCAATAATAAGAAGATTGAAAACGTTAAGCAGAATGATTGTAACGCTAACCATAATACTAGTAATTAAGATGCGGTGGATGGCTAAGTGCCCAATTTTTAAAATTCTTGGTACCAATCAAGAATCTTCAAAATGCTTAATTCAAAAATGAGTGCAGAGTTGACATTATGCTCATAATAATTCAGGTAGAAAGAGGGATGACCATAGACACCACGACTATCACATTTCTACCTGTTGTTCTGGACCAAATCATTGCAACCATATGCGGTAGCTAGAGCGGAACCAAATCACGGCTTTTGCTTGTCTGGGTAGTGGTAACTGACTTTTTTTTTAGGTAAATTATAAAATTAAGTATAAATTTAAAAAAGTTTTATAAGAAATTAAAAATAATTAAGTTTTAATGTCTAATTTTTTTATATTATTAAATAACCAAGAAATATCCACTCTATAAAAAATAAAAGGTGTATATTTTGTTCATTCTTCCTTTAGTTTAATAAAAAATTATTATAATTAAGTTTATGTTTGGGATTATTGTAAAGTATTAAAATTGTGATCTGATTTTTTTTTAATGTTTTATTATAAGAAAAACTATGTCATTGTTTGATTATTATTTTTAAAAAAATTTAAACATTAATATGATCATTGAATTATATAAAATATTAATTAAAATAAATTAATATTTTTATAAAATATTTATAAGAAAACATTAATCGTAGAAAACAAACGAATGCCAATCGAAACCTAAGTCTCTTAATTAGCTATTCTTAACTTCCTAAAAATATTTATTAAATTAAATTTATTTTTATATTTTAATTAAAAAATAATCATTACCACCAATTATATATGCAAACATGACTTTATAGGACATTACTTTTTTTTTTTCTTTTGTCATATATTCCTGAGAAGAAGATGGCTTCATTTGGTAATTCTTCAGTCTATATAATAATATTTTAGTTCCAAATATCATAACCAATTTTATAAATAAAAACCTAAATTTCTGACCTAACAAACGATTGCAATGGTTCGTCTCCCCCATGAATTCATATATGAATATTGCGAGAAGAATGTAACATAAGACCAAAAAGAAATATATATTAATGGATTGATCATCTGCTACGCCGCCTGGTGTTGGTGGTTCACATTCTTATTCTATCCATGCAGGTTACGTAACCTATGAGAATATAAAATCAGGGTTTGATTTGGAAGGGCTTGGAGCAACACAATATTATAAATGTGCTTAGTTTATCTTATTTTATTGATTTATATTAATTAGTTATTAAGTGTGTTTAAAAATATTAATTTATAAATTCATCTTAAATTATTAAATAATAAATTTTAATTATTTTATTAAATATAAATTATAAATTACAATCACCAATTAATCCTAACAATTAAATTAATATAATTACAATTTTTTCTGTGACCCTCACAATTAATTATGGGGCCATATCCATGACTGTCTGGGAGTATTTTACTATATTGTGTGGGTCAGTATTTTTTTGCCTTCTATAGAAAATATATAATATTAATTAAAATTATTAAAAATAAATAAATAATAATAAAAATTAATTAATTATAATAAAAATATACTTTTAGATCATGTGTTGTGTAAAAAAGCCTTGTGTACAACACTTCCAAACAAACACTAATTTTGTGTTTAGAAATTTTGTGCAATGCTATATTGTGGTTGGGACTGTAATTCTAGAGTGGTGTTTTATGCTGTCACAAGAAGTATAATTTTTTTTTTTGTAAAATAATTAATACATACTTAGTTTGATATATTTTCGACATTAGTTTGATTTAATTATTAAAAATATAATATAAATACAATTGATTTAATTAGTTTTCACATTTGTGCATATAAATATATTTTTATATTTATTTATTTTCAATTTTATATCAAAAATAATAATTTTTTAATAAATATATTATATAATATATTAAATCAAAATATATATTAATTAATATTATTTTTTTTATCAACAAAATAAAATAATTTATTACTACGGATACATGTTACCCAAACCCATTAGCATTCCTTTACTGACAGTACTTTCACATTTCTCCAGCTAGCAGAACTTGATTGAAACGACGTACATACCCTGCACTTTGAAACATTGCCTATTGTATTTTCTAAGGCATGCCTTGGATCAGATTTCCACACCTTCAGAGACAATTTTGGCATACTTTTAGCTCTCAAGCAACAGAATGATCTGTATTTGACAAGGTCAATTATCTCTTCCTCCTTATCTTGCTGTGTTCCAAAAATCCGCTGATTTCTCCAAGTCCACTGAGTCCACGCCGTTGCATACCGCACCACCATTAACCAAATATATATATATATATATATTGCTATGTAATTATATAAGGGGTTAGTGTAATGCCTGTTCTCCTAAATTTTTTTTTAGAAGAGCTACTTAAAAATTCACTTATGATATTTTTAGATACATTTTCCATAAAAAAAAATCTTATAAAACACTTTTTTATTATATAATTACTAAACAATAAAAAAATTAATTACAGAAATGAGTAACGCAAAAATTAATGAGATTATCCATTTTTTGGTGTTGCTCGCTTTTCAGGAAATTGCATTTCACCTTAAGACCGTTTCAACACATAATGAAAAAGAAATGAATAAGCCAAACCAAACTAATCTAAGGAATTCGGCTATAGTATATTGATAAAATTAGACTGGTTTAATTAGTATTTCTTCGAACAGATTAGATTTTTCTATTAGAAAAGTATAGTAAAAATCCAAACCAAATTCGCTTAGAGAAGTATAGTAAAAACCAAATCAAATTCAATTAGAAAAGTATAGTAAAAACCAAATCAAATTCAATTAGAATAGTATAGTAAAAACCAAATCAAACCAAACCAATCTATGAACCTAAGTTTGTTTTTTAAATACCAACCACCTAAGTGGCTAAATCTGTTTTATAAGTGGAACAAAGAAATTTTGAGTTTAAAATACTTGATATGTGGGTAGAATAGGTTAAAGAATATAAAAGAATTGTCTCTTATTGTACTAATCAAAATAAAATAAAATAAAATATTTATTTTTGTGTAGAAGATGCAATTGCCCCTCAATATTTTCTACTTGAAAGAAATTAGTACATAAAAAAAAGGAGAAATTATTGATACACACTTTTTAACATTTATCTCAATTCAATTATTAAAATATAATATAAGTACAGCTAATTGACCCACTTTTTAAGGTCTATATGCAAGATTGCATCTTTAAATTTGTTTGTCTTTTAATTTCAAACAAAAAAAAAATAGTTCTTTTAATGAGTGGATAGTGCAATGTGTTAAATCAAAATGTATATTAATTAATGTAAAAAAAAATTGGCGCAAATTGTCACCTCAAAATTTCATTTTAGAAAAATTAGCCCAAATTTAATAATTAATGTCACACAATTATTTTTCCGTTAAACTATTATACTTGGAGCCTACCATAAAGTTGACATCAATAGTTAAATTTAAGCCATGCAAATTTGTTTCAACTCAAAAATATTATGGGACAATTTCCATTTGGCCTTGTTTTTCAAATGCCACTTATGATGTTCTAACATTTTAGAGATCATCAACCTTTCTTAGAACTCTCAAGAGATATTTTAAATGATTAAAAACTTGAGATTTTAAATTTCAAATTTCAAATTTAAAACTTGAGATTGGTAAAGAGTTATTAAGAAAAAGGAAGAGGGCTATTTCCACTATCTTTATTATATAATTTATTATCTAATGTAAAAAAATAAAATAAAATAAACATTCCTTAAT